TATCTACTGAGCGAACTAGAAAGGGCACTGCCTTCCTTTCCTGCTCACCCAGCAGTTGCATCGGACCCTAAGCAGGCCCTCTGGAGACCACAGTGCCACCCCCCTCATCAGTGGTGGCTCCTAGAGGGCAGTGCTTTCAAGGTCTGATGCGGCTTCTCTGGGATCAGGCAGGTAGCTGCTGGGGAGTATAAAAGACAACGCTGTTTGCCCCCTCCCTCTACCAGGTGATGCCATCCTCAGTGACACCACTGCCTGGCTACTACTTGTATCCCCAGTGCAACACAACTTTATGGCTCCAGGTTGAATTCCCATACCAGAGGAAGCCAGGGCAAGATCTGGCCTCAGCTGTGCAGCTGTCACAAATGCACCTTTTCTGCCATACAATATTAGGAAGATTATGTCATGGGATATACAGTCAGCCCTTTGTATCCATGGATTCAACCATCCATGTCTTGAAAATAATCAGAAGAAATATACATTCCAAAAAGCAAACCTTGGTTTTGCCATTTTATATATGGGACACCATTTACTATGCCCTTGTATTTAAGGGGACTTGAGCATCCACAGATTTTGGCAGCCACGGGGGATCCTGACACCAAATCCCAGCAGGTACCAAGGGCCCACTGCAAAGTAGAACAGCTATTGCAGAGACGTGATGATTTCAGCCTCAGGTGGTGAGATAACACTGGGGAGGAGGAGGAGGCGGCAGGCACGATTTAAGCCTGTTCAAGGTCATTCCTGTGAGAAGAATCTGACTGTAAGAACAAAAAGGGGAGGTAAGAGAAACCAGAGGGCGAAATTAGTTTGCTAATTTTATCTAATGAGAGTTGAGCCCACCATGAGTTTGAAATTGTGTATAGGAATTGTAAACTCTTGCTGTTTAGTTCTGACAATGAGTGAACGTCTCTGGTATGGAACTTTAGTGCTGAAAAATGGTTTGCTCAGTTTTAACTACAAAAGCCTGAATTTCTGAACTTGGTTAGCTGCTGGATTTGACAGTTACCTTCCTGGATCACAAGTCAGTATGCTCCATGTATTCTAGCACATTGCTCCTTAAACTATCTGATACAGGGAACCAGTAGGGTTTCTTTCCCAGTTTGCCAGGAACTGGTACCATCTTTGTGTCCATTGACCACAACTGTTTCTTTATTTGCTGTAAACAGATTGGAAGCCAGTAGCTCACAGATAAAATGAAATTCTTTATTACAGTCAAAGACCAGCATCAGTATAAAGTTTAGCATAGAAAAGTAAATTAATACATATAAAGATTACTTAGGATAAAGATCTGCTAACTAGGAATGTAAATAGTTCATTTCTGTTACATTTAAGATAGCTTCATTTAAAATAAAATAAAGTAAATAAAAATAAACCTTTATAGGCTTATGCCCTTGAGATAGAAATAATAAAGATAAATTAGGGATATCAGATTTTTACCATACAGTACCAGACATGGCACAAGATTATGTATTTAACTTTGATCAGTTATTCTTTTCCTACAAGTGATTGCTAGTGCAGAAAATTGTGCCACTTTATAAGTTATATGCAAATTCCAGTCTGATAATAGGTAATTTAAATAAAAAGCTTCAGATCTCCCAGGTATGTTCAAAAGTATAGGAGTGATCAAATCTCTGCGGTAGCTCATAGATGGAGCACCACTTTCAGTAGCACCACAATGGCAGATGTCAGTGATGGCAATAGTGGTTCCTTTCTCCTAGCTGCACAAGTGTTGCCAGATCCTTGCCAGGAGCCCCCACAACCCCAGCCACTAAGAAGAGCATGCCCTGGTGCGATCAAACTGTGGTTGCACAGCGAGGAGGGCATTGTGCAAAGATAAACTCAATAGCTCCTTCTACAATACCCCCCAAAGTGCATATGTTAACGTAACTCCCAGTTTCAACAGTGTATTTCATCTACAGGAGTCTGGCTTTAGAAAGTAAGCACAAGCAATCGCAAAGTACTATCATACTTCTTCCAAGTCATGAGTAGTTCAGAAGGTTAGCCAGGTGATTTCTATGTATAAATGCACTGGCTTAAATATAATTTCCCAGATAAAACTTTCCTATCTATGGATGCCAGCTCAAATGCAATATTTTTGGTGGAGTCAGCTCATATATGCAGCTGCCAGTCATCAAGGATTAAGTAATAAAGTGTTACCTGTCTGAACTAGGTCAACATGGATTTAGATCAGGGTGGGAAATTGCACCCTTCCAAGCCTCTGCCAAAATCCAAAACCCTGAACTCCCACCAAACCATCACAAGCATCACCCCCCCACACAACAATCCACTCCTTTGATGCCTCCAGAAGTGGTATGTGTAACAATCCCTCCTCTAGGTAAAAAAATCAGTTTAAAATGGCAAAAAAGCAGAATATAGAAGCCACTTCATTTCATTTATAGCTGAGCATTGCCCTGTTTTTAGGCATGTGCAGCTCATGGGGGGACATGGGGCAAAATAATGTCTCCTGTGCCCACCACAGTTGCCCACCCCTAATTTAGATAAATAATCTTTCAGCTCTGATTAAATACCAAAAACACAAATGATACAATATTACCATTCTGTATTAATTTGGGTAAGCCAATTCTAGCATTATGTGGTTTAAAAAATGGATTTGTTCTTTTGGTGCCTTCTTAATCTAAACCACACCTTCATCTAAAAGGTGATTGTTAAAACAAAATATTTATTTATTTATTTATTTATTTATATCCTGCCTTTCTCCAAAAAAGGGACCCAAACAACTCATAATATCATTACCCTTTTTACTGT